GAAGGTAGTTCCCGTCATGCAGGGATCAAGAAGTGTGTGTGGGGCACTCCACCTTCCCATTGACCTCGGCAAGGTTTCAATACCTTTCGAAGGTATCTAGCCTCCTCTGGGTTCTCGATGCAGACCTTTTAGATAACGCCTAGTAGACCGTGTAAAACTAGGTCAGGAATTAGCTATCTGTGCCTCGATAATTAATTCCTATGCTTTCCGCAATGTAGATGCTCTTCGTCTGGCGAAGAATACTTGGCGCTGGTCTGTGAGTCGTCTCCCCGATGTAGTCGAACGCCTAGGTCTCGACCTGCCGCTCCTAGATACGATCTGGTTCCAGTAATCAAGTCAACTAAAGGATTCTATGATCTCGGTTGATGGAGCAGTCGTCGATCGGAAAACGGAAAGTACTTATTTAAGTCCCGAGTAAATCAATTGAACACGTCTACATACTTTCGGGGATCTAAACGAACTGTTTATTTCCGGCTTTTTCCGTTGCCTCGGAGGCCAATGATTTACATTTGTTTTTACCCCCTCCTTAATTGTTATTCTTCCTCGAACATTCCAAACATTGTCAAACGCTTGTTTATAATTATCTTCGTTACTTGGGAGTTTAAACAATGGATAATCGATACTACTATTGGTCCATGATAATTCCGTGACCCGACCTATCCCCATTTACATGGAATATGGTAGATTTCGCATAGTAACGCTGTTCTAACTTACTGTCGGTCTTCGTTCTTAAAGATATTCGTTTATCCTACTTAACTATCCTGGTATCTATGCTAAGATGTTCGATAGATAATAGATGCTAACGCCGACCGATCACTGACCCCTTCATGCAACAAGAAATAACTCACTGCCTTTAACGTTAGGCTGTGTAAGAAATTAAAGAGACAGATAGCGTGGGGTTAGAAGAAAAAGTAATTTACTTAATTAAATGCCCATCACTTGGAAGTCTAAAAGAGGAAAGACGTTACACAGGAAACTACGAAGCGGAACACCTGGACATAATGTATTTCTAAAAAGTTTAATCTAAAATACGAGGAACTATGTCGAAGCACACACATACATATTGTGACGTGTACCGTTCATCGGCGTCGCCTACAAATAATCCGTGGCTGGTCCCAACGTGCTGAAATCGAAGAAAAGATCCGAAGATCTAATTGTTGGGCGCCAGGTGCGGCTTTCCCGCACCACCATCCCTCACCACGGCCGTTTTCAGGTTTCCCGGCGGCTCAGCCTCAGCGCACTGAAAATGGTAGAGGGGAACATGGGGGCGACAAGAGAGAATTTCGGAGTCCGCGGGTAGGCGCGCAAAATGATAAGATAGCGAGTAAGATACCGTTCCGTTTATTACCATCAAATAAACGGCGGATTTTACAATACAAATCCCGTCGCGTACAGTGTGTCCTCCAACGGCGGCTCACGACTATTCTGAGTCGTGATTTCTAGCCTGCCCCAGACCTGTCCCTATTTCGGTGTCCCTACCGAATCCGCGAATCCCCTCGCGATTCGCGATTCTAACAGGTCTCGTTGGAGACGAGCCTTTCCTTCCTCGGGAGTGTGTCCTCTGACGTCGGTAGCCACCTGAGGCATCCATGTGTCCGCACCACTCCCGCTCGGCTATCTTCTCGCGCAAGATATTCTCTAAATAAGACCGCCCTCGCGGTACTTACCGAGAATTGGCTGTCCCATCAGTCCTGTACCAAATCCAAATCGTGGTGGCCGTGTCCCTTCCGCCTATCCCCGTGGTGCCGCATCCCGGCTCCACGAGGGTACCCATCAAACACTCGGAATTTCACACACTCGGCCACGCACTGGCACTAGACCATACCAAAAAACCCGGGAGCCATGGTTCTCTGCGAGAGATCCCGATAATCGCAATCCGCGATTATCCGATAGCTCCGCTATCGCTCGAGCACGGAAGAAGGACTCATTTTTCGCGGTCCTCCGGACACCCGTGTCCTCACACGCGGACTCCCCGCGACACACTCTCTCTCTCTACCTACCGCTCTTCGCGGTAGGTCAAAAATCAAAACAAATCTCCTCTTCGGCGCCCTCCCCGCGGACCCGCAAACCGTAGCCAATCAAAGTTCCCGGGGTACCGGCAGTGCGTCCTGGCGGTTGAGCACCCCTTGCGTGCGGGCTCTCAACCCAAAAGGGCTCCGTGCCTCCGCCGCCAGTCCACTACTTTCCCCCGTTCCCTCCTCCCAACCACGGACCAACGAACTCTTTGGAGATGGAGGCTGGAGGCACTGCCGTGCTGTCGGCAGCGCGCGGAGGTGCGGGGCTTCTGTAATGTGTCGTCCTGACGCCACGTTACACTATATATACCACCCGGACCAAACGTACTCAAAAAAAGTCTAGGCTGTTAAATTTGAAGTTAATCTATTGGTAAGGTATATGGATGTCATGCTAGACCATCCCAGAACCGTGAAATTGGGTTCGTACGCAAAGTAAAACAAATCATACTAATGGTAGAGACTCGACCAGTTATCTTGCCCTTCTCAGGTGTTTCGAGATGCGGATGTCAAGATTGCAAGTCTCCTAGAACTTTCCATGCTGCGGACCTATGGACCCAACCTGTGCCTATCACGTGGAGTCGTTACTTCAACGGAGGAGCTCTCCGATCCGTTGCATTCCCCTCCCAGCGGATCTATTTCCGGATCATCCGCGGATGGTTCTAACTTCTGGGAATGGATTTCCCTAACCCGCGATTTATAAGGCCTTAAATGGATCACGTTAAAAGTTCCCTTGAAAACTCCGGACTCATCTTCTAGCTCGTAACTGTTATTCATTTTAATTCTCTTAATTCTAAAAGGTCCCTTGTACAGTAAACAGAATTTCTTAGTAATTCCCTGGGCCTTATTGGATAATGAATGATTTTGAACTAGTACTACGTCTCCAACCATAAACGTTCGTTCCTCGTGACTTCGGTCATGTTTTTGTTTTCGTTTCCTCGCACTAGTCAAGAATTTACTTTTGGCTTGTTCTAGTTTTTCCTCCAGCGATAACGAAGTTCTCTCCTCATCTGGTGGTATGGGTATTTCAGAAGCAGCGAAAATAGTAGTCGCGTACCCCATTAACTCCGATGAGATAAATCCCACGGAACTATGGTTGGTATTATTTAGAGTAAACTCGAGCTGACCTACGTATTTAACCCATAACGAATGTTTCTTGTAGCAATACGCTCGAAATACACGGCCTAATTCCCGCATCACCCGTTCCCAGGGATTCGACTGCGGATGATATACCGCCGTTAATCGTGATTCGATACCCTGTTGCTCGAGATAGTCCAACCATTCGTGAGAGGTAAAAGACCCTCCATGATCCGTTAATAAGGCCCTTGGTTTTCCCACTTCAGTGAGGTATCTGCGACTGAACTGATCTATCAAAGTGCTGGTTTTTTTGCTGTTTAATCGGGAACGGTTTTACGTACTTGGTAAATACGTCCACTAGTACTAAAATGTGTTTAACGCCTCCTTTTCCCTTCGGTAGAGGCCCGAAATAATCAGCCGCAACTAATTCCAAAGGCGCACTAATTCCCTGCTTGCAATAATAAGATGTAAAAATAAGGTGTCAAATGTTTGAAATGTCGGCGTACGTTTCATGGTAACAATTGTCTTGCTAATCATCTCAAACGGAACTCATATGCTAAGTCAAAATCTATATGTGACGCAATAAAAAATTGTGAGTATTGTGGAATATCAATCATGACTAAGAAAAGGCGTAAGCATAGATGTTACGAACGCTTTTGTTATACGTGTCTTGTTAATAGACCGCTGAGGCATTGGTGTTACATAGAACCTCTAAAGAAAAATATTCAATTAGCCAAGCAAAAAGAAAACGCACCAGTAAAAGAAAATCTGTTTGTATTTTACGATTTTGAAACGATGGAGGTTCGCGAGTGGGTGGGAAACCAAGATGTTAAAGTTCACGATGTTAATCTTTGTGTAGTTAAAAAAGTATATGAAAAATGTATGTACAATAATAACATATCCTACCTCTGTAGTTATTGCGGTATTCGTCAATTCAGTTTTCATCATGAACCCTTAAAACAGTTTATAGATCTCGTTATAGATATGAAAGATTTCAAACAGGTGATATGTATAGCACACAACGCTCAGGGGTTTGATGCTCAATTTGTACTGGAATATATTGTAGAGACATTGAAAATAATTCCACAGATTATATTGAACGGTACTAATATCCTTGAGATTTCTTTTGAAAAAGTTAGATTCTTAGATTCTTTATGTTACCTAAGTATGCCGCTATCCGGATTTTCCAAAACTTTCAATCTCCCTAGCTCGTTAGTTAAAGGATATTTTCCTAATCTATTTAACAGTATTTAACAGACCTGAAAATCAACACTACGTCGGACAACTACCAGACACACTGTTTTATTCCCCTGATGCACGAAAAGGTATTACCCGGTGGCTTGAAGGTAGATGGATATTATGAAACAGATAGTAGAAAAACAGTATTTCAATTCCACGGTTGTTAGTTTCACTGTTGTTCCAAATGCTATCCTAGCGATCGGGATGAAGCAAATATTGTTAATGATGTGTGGTCAACTTTGTAATAGCGATATGAACGCACCATATTAAAGTGTTCACGCATTAGAACATTAGGTTATCATTTAGAAGAAATCTGGGAACATTCTACAGGGGTCGCACGGGTAACACTCGAACGTACTATAAGGTTACCCTGCTTAAAAAATACGATAGAAAACGATTTTGAAAAAATCCTATCTAATCCAATCGTGTTTTTGATTCGTAAAATGTAGATTCGTTATCTAATATTTCCTATACAATTTCTATCGTTTTATATAAAAAGAAACAGATCAATTGTTTATCGTTTTTAATAGGTTTCTGTCTTGAATTGTTAACGTACACCGACAGGCAATATACGTTTTTTAAAAGAACAAATCATATTTAAATACCTTAAATTATAGTCAATCTGTTTATTCAACTACTTATAGCAATTATTTCTACTTCGTACATATTAATATTGCATAAAACTTCAGTAAGATTAATTACAGGAACAAAATTGAGTTTTATGTAAACCGGACGTATTAATCCATCTCATCGAAATCTGAGTGCACCACAGATTCTTGGGGAATTTCGCTTGCAGTGATATGTGGTGAGTCTTGTGGAGCGCTACCCAACGAGGAATTGGGGGAAATTTCTGCCACATTGTCACACTTCGCGGTTTCTGCCATCGTTTCATCATCATATATTTCGTCCGGATGAGTCACTGAAAGATGACATATATCAATGGAAGTGTACCGTCACATCTATGATAGTGGAAAATTTAATAATAGCACCTTGGTACGTGTATATAATACTACAACTGCCTCTTACCATTAATAACAGCTTCTAAAGTCGTTCCAGAGTCTTTAACTCGATTCAATTCGTATATTTTTTTTTGGCTCACGTGCTTCCCTACTTGACTAGCTTCGAGATCAATAGCTACCGAATTGTAGTTCTTCGCCGTTCGCAGCCAATAGCACAGAATATCTGAGATTAAATGCATGTAATTAGATAAAAGTGATAATACTACGAAACGGTTCACAAAGCGAAATATGATCTGCGCATTTCAGCGTTTGAAAAGCTAGTCTTATTTTTAATTATTCTGGAGATCGCAAAATTTACATTTTTCGATCCACAGGTTGCAGTCAACTCATGTAATGTTATAGAGAAAATATTTAATGTAAATGAAAATTGATAAAAAATCCACACAAAAAAAAATTAACATTTACAAACCAAAGTACCTTTTATTGCCTCTAAACGTTTTGTCTCCAATTTGGGCCTGGGCTTGACATCATTACGTTTGCCCTTTTGCCTATTCGAGATCTTCCCCGTTACCGAACTGTTTCTCAAAGTCGTGCATCCAAAAACGGCGATTGCGATGTTCTTTACAAACATGCTAGGAGTCTTGCTAATGCACGCTGCAGTGTCATACACTTGAGATGGCAACCAAACGTTTCTTCCGATATGAATCTATGATCGTCAATTCAGAAACAATAAATATTAACATGATTAAATATACTGTGAAAGAAGCAGTTATGTTAAAAAAATTGTATCGATTAATCTACTTTTCGCTCGTACCCAACCGCAAACTGTGCACCGTTCTCGTCTTCGACATTGAGATTTTTTAAATTCGATATCATGGCTGAAATCGGATTTGATCAAACTCATCACAGGTGCTTTTACATTAATTTTAAGATACATTCCAAAGTAATATAGTAAGCTTTTACGATATATCTGTTTTATTAATTTCAACGAGTTTAATAGAGAAACAGAAATAGTTGGTACTGACGTAATAATTAATTGCATAAGTATGTTATTAATAATTTGTGGCGTGAAAATTATTAATCGATGGTAAATTACACAGTTTTGAAAACTACATGCAGAAACAAGCGATATTTAAACTATTATCAGAGTTTTGAGAAAAACGTATTGAAAAGAATATAGGAAGATATATTAATTAAGCATACCCTTCAGTTATTGCAATTCTTCGATTGCATTCTTTTGCAGTGCTATGTTTGCATTCAACAAATCCATCATGACCAAATCTTTGTCAGACAAGGCCTGACTCAAATTATTGACCGCGTCTTGCAAGTACTTTATTTTCGTCGATTTTTCGATGTCGTTTAATGCATTCTTTTGCGACTCATCTCTTGTATCCTGAAAACAGTCCACATTAAATGATAATATTACCCAGTTTCCGTTAAAACCAGGCTCAATAAACTAACCTTTCGTGAATTGGATTTCCTTACAGCTCTGTCAACATCACTTAATGCAGCTTTTAGTATCGCGCCTTTTGATCTATCACTCGTCGGGTTTTCCTGAATATTCGTAAAGTTAAATTAGATTAAACACACACAAAAAATACCAAACCCACGTCTCTTCTTCCATCGTAATTTTTCGAGGCATTCTGTTCCCTGTTCAATATCAGAGATTTGGTTGTCACAGAGATTCAGTTCAATGTGGCTGCTTTCTTATGCTCATCCTTCTTCGTGATATCGCTTTCTGCCAAGATAATTAATTTCTTCTTTAGGTTATCAGGTACACGTCCTATTGATATCTATTTGTAAAGAAGAATATCGTTATTATGTTACATCAAATTAAATTTAAATCCTCATTTAGAAATGTAATGATCAGTGTATGACACAGTGGCGTTTTATTAGTAAGTTTGCCTAATTTATATCGCAAAAAAATTCCTAAAATACTCACTATCTTTGGTATGTCACGTTTCTTTGGAACTGTCTCCATAGCATTTGAACATGTCACGATGTCCACAACACTTTCACGGGAGTTTCTGCAACTCTGTTTAAACAGAAAACACTCCAGTTGCATATATTCATATTTTCATTTATATTATACTAAAACAATTCATTTGCTTTTTTTACTTTTTTGACGGCTCATCTGTCTTTAAAATTTTGAGTCCAGATTTCGATGGTGCTACTTCTGTTTGTTTGTTCTTGTAGTTGCCTCCAACGTCTTTGGTTGCCTAGATTATTAGAAAAGAACAGTATGTAAATAGTTTTTTTTTGGTACACAATTCTGATTACCTTTGCAGTCAATTGTTTTGTAGCTGCATCACGCAATTTCTGAGTCAACAAAGTTTTCGCAATCTTAGCAGCTTGTCTATCATCATTTTTCTTAAATACAAAAAGTAAAGAATATCCCATGGATCAGTATTGTTTGGGACACTATGATTTCAGAAGATTAATTTTGTCTGAATACACAATTCGTCTCAAGCAGTGACAATAATTACCTTTTCCGTTATCTTATCTGGGGTGTCACTCTCAGAAGCTGAGAAATATCTAGCAAGAGGTCTTGCTCGTGATCTTGTATCAATTTTCTTTTCAAGTTCTGATTCAGTCACTAAAAAAATATTATTATGTTACTGAAACTAGGAGGCAGTGCAACAGGCAGGTCGTCGGATGAGACGATCCGGTCCACTGCTTGCCCAAGCGAACCACCTGCTAGTTTCAGCTTATTTATTTATTATTTATTTATTACCGATTGATAAAAAGTTAGGTTGCTTCAATGAAATTAAATTAAATCTTCGCTGTAAATGTATAACAAATATGAGTGACTGTATACTTACACCCAACAAAAAGAATAATACTCTCATAATATGCATTGTTCCATGAAATTTTGTACTTCTTTTTGAAGTTAATATTATCTAGAGCGATATTTTTTATTTTATCAACCGAAACGATTTCCATCTCGCCAGTTGCATATTTCACGTATGCGAAATTCGGCGTAGATATGTTTTTATCTAATAATCACTCGTTCATATAAGTACTCTTTGTCTTGAAGTCTCGGATTCCGACGTGTTAGAGGTTATTATTCTTGCAAAATGTAGATTTTACAAAATGAATGTCGATGATACTTTTTCTGCGATTTTTTAATACACCCACACTGCGATGAAATATGTAAATGTTCTGCCGATATTTACTCACCATCTGTCCACTCGAGAAATAATTGCAACCCTTTTAGTAGTAACCAAACACCACATGCCCGTGCCTACAAAATACACGCGGGAATACTCGGGAATTACGCGGGAACCCAACAGCACGCGCGTGATTGCGTGGATAGAGTCCCCCAGTCAGAGTCCGGCCAACGGTGGGTCTCTTACTGATTGGCTCCGCCATTTTTATGGTTCTCTCCAGAATAGGATGTGTGTGTGTGAAAACGTATGTACATGGGAGAGATTCGCATTGTATAGTGTGGGTAGTGTTAAGCCCTGTACGGTGGGTTGCCTGTACTTGATGGCGCGAGACTCGACAGAGTATCGGGCAATGTCATGGCGGCGCCAAACGAGCCCTAAACATGGCGTCCCTTCCAGGTGTTGGCCGGACTGACTAGAGGGACTCTATGCGTGGAAATGCGCGCAAAGACTGTATTACGTTGTGACTGTCATATATCTGCAACTATTATCGTCCATATAAACAAAATCAGCAGGTAAGAACGCTTTATCATTTTTACCTTTCTATATAGTCTTATAAAAAGACGATATGCTATAACTCACTGAGTCACTATATGTATTGAATAGCTATTTGATAGCGTTGAACTAACAAGGGGAGGACGCGAGCTTGGGGTCACGGATTTAGGAGTCTTTTTGAGGTAGGAAAGTACTTTGTAATAACAAACTACAGGCCAAGTGGCAGGACGCAACTCGGACCCGTTTTCGAGAAAAACCGGTTTGAAAAACGCAGTACTACTCATATACCTGCACCGTTGCCAATATTTTCGAAAAGGCGGCGTAGCTCGGTGGCAGCGCGCCTAACTTCCACCCGAGCGGCCAGGGTTCGATTTTCCCATCACACGTATATTTTTTTATATTAATTCTTTTTTTTTTTGCTACCCGACAACCCATGTTTATCTATTAACAATTTTGTCAATTTATGTACGAAATGAGTGCATTGGAACACTATTATTTTTCATTATCAGACACTGGTTTATTGGAAAAGGTTATAAAGATTCAAAGCGTATTGTTAGGTGTACATATGTTTTTTATTATTCGCTATCACTACTGGCTTCTGTATAGCCTTTACATTTATTTGGATGGTATGTATCATAAAAGCATGCAAAACATAAATTATGTTCACACCATGCACATTTTATGAATGCAACTTCTTGTTCGTTGTAATGGCAATGTTCTTTTGATAGTGACAGAACAAAGTTAATTTCGTTCATATTTAAAAACATAGGTCTGTCTTCAGTTAGTTTTGCGGCGAACCAAGTATATTTCAGCATATTGTAAAATTGTGGAGCCCTTAATTGATTATGAACCAAAGACTGTATTTTGATGGAATCTTCGCGCGATGCTAGTTCTCTTTGGTCTTTTAATAAAGCAGGAGCGTTTTGTATGCGCATTATTAAAAGTTTTACCTGTCGATAAAAATAAACATCGCACGGTTGACAAAGAGGCGTACACTTTGGTGGTATAAATTTCAGGGTGCACGTCGTTTCTCCTGACTCATTCCCGAAAACGTCGTTATGCATAGTACAGTCTGTTTGTCCACCCCAGGAATCAATAATGAGCAAGAACTTCTCATCCTTCACGTAAGGAACAAGGATTGTTTCGAGATAGTTCCTATAAAGATAAACATGGCTTGTTGGGTAGCAAAAAAAAATTAATATTAAAAAAAATACGTGTGATGGGAGAATCGAACCCTGGCCGCTCGGGTGGTAGTCAGGCGCGCTGCCACCGAGCTATGCCGTCTTCTCGAAAATGTTAGCAACGGTGCAGGTATATGAGTAGTACTGCGTTTTTCAAACCGGTTTTTTTCAAAAACGGGTCCGAGTTGCGTTCTGCCACTTAACCTGCAGTTTGTTATTACAAAGTACTTTCCTACCCCAAAAGGACTCCTAAATCCGTGACCCCAAGCTCACGTCCTTCCCTTGTAAGAGACCAACAAACATGTTACCACATGTAACATATTGTCTATAAGTGAAGCATGCTTATTATCGTACTATAAATAGAAAAAAGATTTGTTTCATTTATAATTTTTGATTAATCACGTATAATTTGTGACGTGCTGGGCCACGAAAATGGCCCAGGGTCTTGCAAAAACAGCTATCTCAAAATCTACGGGGTGAGGGGAACGCAAAAGAAAGGGGGATACGTGGTAAGATGGAAAAGAATATAATTAATAATGAAAATGCCAATACAAAGAAAAGAATAGAAACGAAAAGATGCTCAAACAGAAACTAGAATGTTCGCAATGTAATAACGCAAAAGACGCAACGCTAGACTAACACGCAACCAAAACAATACACGCAGGTGCTCGCTCGGGAGCACGCGGTGTTAGAAGGGACTTTTAAACGGACTAGTGGGCGAGGGGAATCAGGGAACGGGAGAACAGGGTATTGGCAAGGGGGCAGGAGGGACAGGAGGGAGAAAACAACAACTGGGCGCCAGCTACTTGTTCGGCGTAGCACCGTCGAGTAACCTCAGAAGGTCCTCGAATATTTACACAAACTCGAAATGGCACGGCTAGCAGGGGAAGAGGTAAGGGGGGTCTCAGGGAGGAAGGTTCCCGAACGCAAAATGGCTACTTTATAAATTACCTCGGTATCAGAACGCAAAAAGGGAAAAGGGAAGGGAGAGGGCACGGGGGTTTTCCAAAAAGGGCGCAAACTACTATAGAACGCACGCAATATACCACGGGCCTCGAGTTGAGGGCGGAAGGCCCGTCGCAAATACAAAAGATTACCAAACTGCTAGGCCACGTGGGCCGGCTCGCTATGTCCTGAGGGGACTTACAAAAATCTAATGACGCAAACTCTAAGAGGGTGGTAGGGAAGGGATGGCAAATATGGGAAACTCAGTCACCCAATACTCACTCGAATATCCGCACACTGATAACCCTTAATCACACAGTTCCACTCTCACTCGCAATCAAAACTCGCAATGCTTATTCAATAACGGCCTGGCTCGAAGTGACGATCTCTTCGGCGTTTCCGGTCCTCGTTGTTTCCGTCACAGGCCTCCAGGGCCTCGGGGATTGGTGGGTCTGCCCAGCTGAGAGGGCTACGCGCTTTGGCATTGGTCGGCAGTTCCGGCATGGCAGGGCATTGGTCCTTTTCATATTTGGTGGACTGCCGGACCTTCCAGGGCCTCGTGGCGGCGGCACGGCGCTGGCTTCGCCGGCCCGCGTACTGGCTGCGCGCGCCGGTCAAGATGGCGGCCACCAGGCCTGTCAAAATCTCCCGGGCACGTTCGCGGTCTCGGAGGGAGAGGGCTCCGCCGCTGTCACACGGGACTTTTTCCTGCCCGTGTGACGGGACTGCACCGGGGCTGGCTGTATAGGTGGTGATGGTGGTGGCGGGGCATCCATCCCACGGGCGACTCGGTCTGCCCATGCCATCCCTGCCTTCCGCTGCCTCGGCGACGTAGCCGCTCTCGCGGTCCATCCAGGGATGCTGTGCTCTAGTGGCAGGTCCACGACGGTGTCCTCGATGCTGGTGTTTGTTATTGTTCCTTGAGCCAGTGCCCTATGGGGAAGGGTGACAGGGAGGGAAGGGTGCAGGGAGGGGGTCTTAACTCTAAATATACTAAGCCTAAAACACTAAATAAACGCAATCAACAATACTTAACTCTAAGGCACTATACTCGAGGCCTATAGGACCTCGAGCCAGGAGGCGGAGGGGAGTCTGCAGTAACATTTTTGTTACAAATTATACATATCATTTATATTACAGCTCTGCACCATACAACATTTCTGTCAAGCATTATATAAGTCGACTTCATAAGAGGTAAGATTTAGTTTTTTTCTATATTAGAAAAAGCCTACCACTTAATTATTGAATAGGTAATTTTAAAAATATCGATTTGAAATCACATTCTTCAATTTTTATGTACGAATCTGATCATTCAATATTAAGGGGCTGCGACCTGAAAATCACTGAAATAAAATTGTGATTTCAATTGCACATGTAAAATCTTGTAAACTTTATAAAAAATATCACTTGATGAGCACAAAACTACAACATTCATATACATATGTGACATTCTTTTGTGCCCCAGATCATTGGTGCAAATATTTTTTGCATTTGCAATTTGTCACATAATTGGGGTTTAATGTTCAGACCTTGTAATGCCCATTTAGTCTATTGGTGCAACCTGAACTCTACGACATGTAAAAAATGAAAAAAAATTGTACTGATAAATTGAACTACAAAAAATATATCGTTCATGGAAATATGGAATGTTTTATTTTTTGTGCTTTTCAAATAATTTTTTATCAAGTGGTGTGATTTCATATGTGCAATTTCAACTTAACATTCATTTTTTCGATTTTTAAATGAATAAAAATGTTAAAAATAATAAAATATTATTTAAGATAATATTAATCAGCTGTATTATTAACTACGCATGATATATTAGATATTATTATTCATTAATACTAATATAAAAAATGTATATACAGGGTGGCCCAATGACTTTGTCTACCCCGAATATCTCTGTTATTTTCAGAGATATAGAAAAATTGTGTCTACGAAAGTTGTATGGTTCGAGGGGGGCCATAATATGCATGTAATAGTTTTTTTCTAGGCGATAGCGTTTTGAAGATTTGAAGGTCATTTCCATTTTTTCGAATGGCACGCTATATTTTTGTATTCCTAATAAAATAGCAGGTGTTAAGACGATTACAATGACCCCTCATACATGGTCGAAGGCGTTTTGAAGATTTCAAGGTCATTTCCATTTTTTCAAATGGCACGCTATATTTTTGTATTCGTAATAAAATAGCAGGTATTTAGACGATTACAATGACCCCTGATACATGGTAATTCGATAACAGGAAATAGGGTAAAACAGAGTGACTTACGTTACAACAAATGCTCGAAGTGATGATCATCCGCATCGATGCAACGTTGCAATCGTTGAATTGCTGAAGTCCGTACACATGCTATAATTTCCAGAGTGATTGTATCACATGCTGTAATAATTCTTTGTTTCATATCTTCTGGAGTCGTTGGCATTTGGTGGTA